AAGTAAACTTTGGCCTTAAGTTCTTCATGGCTAAAGTAGCGGCATGTGACCAAATAATTAGTGTAGCTTGCAGCGCCCTCTGTTGGTGCAAATAATTAGGCTACTACATGATTGTTCTGGTAACCAACAGATGAACAAAACAGCCCGCAAATACTAGTCACCCTATATTACTGGTTGCTTCTCTGCCATTTACAAATCCTCTCCCGTGGCCTCATATCCCATTTAAAAGTGAAGTATGTACTATTGACAGCTAGCAGTTGAAATGGGTACTGCTGTCCAAATTCAAAATATTGGAGAGTTGTTTCTCCAGCCCCTTACTCCACAGACTCGTCGCTCATGTGGGTTGCCAGATTGAGGACATGCAACAAGAATGAGCACAACTGACCATGGTAGGCATTGAGCTTTACTGTAAGTCGATGAGTTGATTTATGTGTGTTTTAATATTCTTCTTGACATAGAGCTTTTTAGATGGATGACGAAGCTTTTAAGTCAGGTGGAATCTGCGATCTCTGACCCAGTTTGTTTGCTGGCTTTCATGGCTGCAATTCGCTGTTTTCCGCCAACTGGCAACCCGAGCTGTCGAAATATGGTTGGGTAAATTGGCAGCATTCGGACACGGAACGCACATTTCAAAGTAGAATAACTGGCTGTATCATTGTTTTTTCGGAGAAACAAGCAGGCCTATGTGAACTTAGCATGTTTCCTATCTGCAAAGATATTGTGGCATTTTTATGCTTTAGTACAGTCAAAAAAAATCCAACAGCATACATGGGGATATTTATATGCATACATTAGGATTTTAAAGGCTAGAATTTTTTACTTTTAGTTTTTGATTTTAAACATTTCATATAAATTCACTCATGCTTTTGTATGAGCTCTGTGTGAAATCATTTGATCTCCCAGCTGTAGCCTATGTTCTTCTCCCTTGATGCTGCCGGTCTTGGAAAGAGTCAACATGTCTAGTGTATAAAAGGCAGTATGGGTTGTCGCATGTGAGCATATGTAGATTGTGTTTCAGTGAGGAGCAGTTTAGAGCTGTTGGCGAAACAAATAACATGTTCAGAAGTCTTTATGTGGTTATGCATATATTGCACTTTATATGAAAGAACAGAGAACAATGCTCTGATTGGAATTTGACGGTTACTCCAATTATTTCACAATGAATCTTACAGCACTGAACCAAACCGACGTCTGTCAGGAATATTGGTGTCCAGAGAGATCTGTTTCTTTATCTGTCTATGTGATTCTGTATGTGGCCGCAGCAGCTGTGTCTCTTCTGACCGTGTGTGGAAACCTGCTGGTCATCATCTCTGTTAGTCACTTCAAGCAGCTCCACACACCTGCGAACATCCTCATCCTCTCTTTGGCTGTGTGCGATCTCCTGGTTGGAGTTTTTGTGATGCCGTTTCACTTATCTTGGCTTATTGAGTCATGTTGGATTTCTGGATCATTGATGTGTTCAGTTTTCAGTTTTGTGACTTTTCAGGCGACAAGCGTGTCTGTTCACACTGTGGCTCTGATAGCAGTTGATCGGTTTTTGGCTTTAAGTTCTCCTTTTCTTTACTCTGAGAAGATCTCACCCACTGTTATCTGCATAGCAACTTTATTTAACTGGTTGTTTTCACTCTTTTATAACTTCACTCTTCTTTACGTTAATGGAAATTTCGCTGATGTCACGTGTCCAGGAGAATGTCTTTATATCGTAGATGAGGTTTCATCCCTCCTGGTTGGAGTTTTTGTGATGCCACTGCATTTGTCTTGGGTCATTGAGTCATGTTGGATTTCTGGATCAGTGATGTGCTCTGCTTTAAAAATTGTGAATTTTCAGGCGACAAGCGTGTCTGTTCACACTGTGGCTCTGATAGCAGTTGATCGGTTTTTGGCCTTACGTTCGCCTTTCCTTTACTCTGAGAAGATCTCACCCACTGTGATCTGCATAGCAACTTTATTTAACTGGTTGTTTTCACTCTTTTATAACTTTACTCTTCTTTTTGTTAATGGAAACTTCGCTGATGTCACGTGTCCAGGAATATGTATTGCTATTATAGATGGGGTTTCATCCCTCATTGACCTCATAGTTGTGTTTCTTGTGCCTTGTACACTCATTATAATATTATACACTCATGTTTTTGTCATTGCTAAGAAACATGTGACTGCTATAAGAGCCCTTCAGGTTCACAACAGCACACAATCCTCCAAAAACAGAGTCGGTGACAAATCAGAGCGAAAAGCTGCCATACTGCTGGGGATTCTGGTCATTGTGTTTCTCCTGTGTTTATTGCCATATTATATTTGCTCTTTAGTGATTCCGTACAGTGATGATGATTTGTTTCATGTCAGAGATGTTACTGTAATGATTTTCTTCCTGAACTCCACCATTAATCCCATCATTTATGCCTTATTCTATCCTTGGTTTAAGAAAAGCTTAAAATTAATTTTCACATTTAAAGTGTTTAATAGAGACTCCTCCCTGATGAATGTGCTGTAACTCACTGAATGTAAGACACAATGTTTTTTTCTTTCTTTTTTCTGATCTTTGCCTGTATAGGCAAATGCTTTTGCTGCATAATTTTATTTTGTCATATATTAAACTTGACTGTGAAGACATGGATAGTGTTTTCAATCATGCTAGTATACTGTATAACAATGATAGTGGGGGGATTTTTTTTTTCCTTTGTCATTTGCATATCTCTCTTATTTCGTGTTTTGTTTGTAATAAACAGAAACGTTGAAGAGCAAAACCATCATGAAAAAAACTATTAACGAAAAGGCAAAAGTTTAAAAAGTAACATACATACATAGCAGGGCATTGTTTTGACCAACAAATATTGAAATTGATGAATTGTTTAAAATTATAACATATAAAACACATGTGACAATTGTCCCAACCTGACTTTTAAAAATAAATGTCCTTTTCTCTTTGGTCTTCTAAAATGTACTTTTTAATAGAGTTAACCATTGTCTAAAAGTATACTAGTGTGATTCCGGGTGTGTGTTCCGGGTGTGTGTTCACGGTGTGTGTGTGTGTGTGCACTTTGGATGGGATAAATGCAGAGCACTAATTCCGAGTATGGGTCACCATACTTGGCCACATGTCACGCCACTTCACTGTATAATTTTATTGTGTTTAGCCAACAAATATTACAAAAATATGATGATGCTGAATCTGGGCTTAAAAACATAGTTTGTGAGATATAGTATCTTCTTATTGTGATACATGCATAAATGATATAAAATGATATCAATATATAAATGTTAAATGTGATGTAAATGTGTGTAATAATTTAAAATAATACTTAGCTTGAGCAATTAATGGCATAAAGCTTGACACAGCCGGTTCAACAGGGCCAAAACGTCACCAGTAGCTCCAACCTAGCAGAGGGCGCCATCTCTTCCTTATCCAGCACAAACATGAGCCAAGTGGAATGTTTCCAGTCTGTGTGATTGGTGTCTATCTCCACTAGAGGGGGCTCGGCGGACCAAAAAGTTGAATCTTCCTTTGAGTCGCATTCAAAATCTCAAATTAATTCCAAGGATTGGTATCTGTAATAAACAGCGAAATCCACTACAGGCGTCACTGTAAAACAATTCAATAAATTCATGTGCCCTGTAATCACAAAGCACGTGACCTTGACTCGCTGCTGCAGCATCGTTGGTTCATCACTGCAAAACATTAATATCCACGTACATGAAGATACAGATTATCAGCTATTAAAACGCCTCAGTTATAAAAGTTATGTCGGTTATATTTGCTGCGCCAACAAGTAGTCTACTTCAGTGATCATTGTGATGTGCAGTGCACTTGTGTATTTTATTAGTTTGAGGACAACAGAGAATCATGGGAAATGTAGTTTGGTCGTACAATTGTCCCCTCATAAACCAGATAAATGAGTTGCGAATATGCTTTTTCTTCATTAACAGAGCACAAAATAAGCTAATAATTATTTAATTGATATGTCATTAAAGAAAAGTATGTTAAGTAGCCTATTTAAGAAAATAAAGATTTCAAAACTGGAAATTGCACATTTATGATCCTTCCAAAATGACTTGACCAAACCACATCCCTATGCTTACAGCTATTTAATTTTGTTTTGGAACGTTTCCTGTTAGATTTACAACATGCACTGTCTGTATCTTGAAGTAAGTTGTTCTACTTGCTCAAGAATGTCACGTGACTGCCTTACAGTGAAGCTCCGCCCATTTTTGCCAGCCAGTTTGTTTATAATTTCTCTTCTAGTTCGTTTTTTTTTTACGCCAGGAACTTCATCACGGTGGCGAAACTTTCAACGAACGTTTGAAGAGTTTCTGCTGCGAGAGCCGGAGACTTTATTAAATCCGAGCAGCGGATGAACATACATCGATGCAATATGGGAAGTTTATTCACTAGCCTTTAAACTCAGGAAACATGGCATTACTCTTTCATGTAAAGTAAGTATTTCATTACAACAGAGTTTGGCATGTTATACAGTGACAGCAGTTCATTCAACATGAATGAATGAATCTTCCAGTCTCGGGAGAAGCTCTGAACGCGGTTGAATCGAGTGAAAATGGGCGATGAATCAAAGCCAGTGGACGGAGAGGTGAATGATAATAAATATTTAACAAAAACAGCCGCGGCTGATGCTGAGGTGACTTTTGAACACCAAAACGCACCGCCGGAAACGCGTTTATATAAAAAGAGATGGATCATAGTATTTTTATTCAGCTCGTATTCGCTATGTAACTCCTATCAATGGATTCAATACGGAATCATCAACAATATCTTCATGCGCTTCTACGGCGTGGACTCTTTCACCATTGACTGGATGTCCATGATTTACATGTTGACGTACATTCCGCTCATTTTTCCCGTCTCGTGGCTCTTGGATAAAAAAGGTCTGAGGGTCATCGCGCTCGTGGCAGCGGCTCTGAATTGCACAGGCACGTGGATCAAGGTGGCCAGCGCGAGACCGGACCTTTTCCCGGTGACATTTATGGGTCAGTTCACGTGCTCAGTGGCGCAGGTGTTTATTCTCGGGATGCCCTCGCGCATCGCATCGGTGTGGTTCGGATCGAAAGAAGTGTCCACTGCCTGCTCCATCGGGGTCTTCGGAAATCAGGTGGGTTTCAATAAAAGAATAATAATAATAGCAGTTTGCTCATTTAACTACTGTGCTGTTAAAGCTAAAGTGTGTCATTTTTGCGGCATTAAACGTAAAAATAATGACTGTTTCCACACAGGTATCTTGAACACGCCCCATTTGCTATTGGTCGGCAAACAGATAGTCCCGCCCATAATCGCTTGTCATTCTTTGAGCCAATGTTTGCGCATTTTATTCAGGTTTAAGCTGCTTTTTAATTGTTTTTTTTTTTCTGTCATTTTATTTTCATTTTAAAAATTTTATTTCATGATATATTTTATTTAATCTATCTACAGTATCTATATATACACTGCCGTTCAAAAGTTTGGGATCAGTAAAATTTGTAATGTTTTTTAAAGAAGTCTCTTCTGCTCATCAAGGCTACATTTATTTGATCAGATATCCAGAAAAAAAAACAATAATATTGTGAAATATTATTGCAATTTATAATAATGGTTTTCTATTTTAATATATTTTAAAATAGAATTTATCCCATGATGCAAAGCTGAATTTTCATCAGCATCATTACTCCAGTCTTCAGTGTCACATGATCCTTCAGAAATAATTCTAATATGCTGATTTATTATCAATATTGGAAACCATTTTGCTGCTTAATATGATTTTGGAACCTGTGATACTTTTTTCAGGATTCTTTGATGAATAAAAAGTTAAAAAGAACAGCATTTATTCAAAATAGAAATCTTTTCTAACAATATACACTACTGTTC